ACCATCATGATCGTTATTATCTTTATTAGTATTGCTATCTTTCTATAATTTTTTTCATTGTTTATAGGTATAAATATTTCTGTTATTATCGGCATTATTCTTATTTTCATTAGTATGATTATCACTATCACCTCTGTTATGTTTTTATTATTATCGTTTTTTTTTAGTCTAATTCTTCTTCTTTTCATTGTTGTTGTTATTAATATTATTGTTATTTTCATTATCATTTCAAATATTATTGTAATTATTTTGATTTTGATTATCATCATTATTGTCTTTATTATTACTATAATTATAATCATTATCATCAATATCATATTTTTTTACAGTCATTATTATCATTGTTTCTATTCCTATTATTATTAGTGCATTGTCATCATTATTATCATTAGAAATCTTTTTATGATTATGATAAAAATGATGATTATTATTTTTACTCTTACTTTTGTTGCTGTTATTACTTTTATTATATATATTTTTTATTATCATCATCATTTTTACTATTATTGTTATTACTATTATTATTGACAATGTTATCATCAATTCAATTATTGTCACTATCATTATCATTATCATAATTATTACTTCATAACTTTATCATTATTATGAGAATTGTATCATTATTATTGTTTTTATCATTATTGCTCTTATTATCATTATCAATATTATATTTACTATCATCATTACCAATGTTATTATCATTATCATTATTAATATTATATTTACTATCATCATTACCAATATATTATCATTATTATTATTATTATCATTATTATTCGTAAAGGTATCGATACTATTATTGTTATTACGATCATTGTTTTTATTATTAACATTATCATCATGATTATTTTTTAAATAATTTCCATCGTTATCATTATTATTATTTAAAAGTTATTATAATTATTTTGTTGTTATTATTATAATCATCGTTAGCATTATAATCATTCTCCTTATTAATATTACTATAATCGTTGTTTTAGGTGTTATTACTATTTCTTTTATTGCTACTATTATTCATTATTTTTATTATCATTAGCATCATTGTTATCATACTCATCATTATCATTATTATTATCGTTATAATTGTTGGTATTATTGTTCTTGTTTTTATTATCTTATAGTAGTAATGATAATATCATTATCAATGTTGTCTTTATCATTGTTAGTTATTATTTTTTGGTTTATTTTCATTAACATTATCATCATCTTCATTATAATAATGATAATAATAACAACAACGATAACAATAACTATAATACTAATATTATTTTAATAGTAATAATCATAATAACGATAATAATGGTGATAACACTAGTAGTAGTGATAATAAAGATGAGAATAATGAAAATTATAATGATAATTTATGAATATTTTTACCATTATTACTAGTTTTATTATCTTTATTGTCATCGTTTGTATTGATTTTTTGTATAAAATGTCATTATCATGATTATCATCAAAATTATTATTATCATTATTATCATTGATATGTTTATTTTGTTAATGATATGATTATTATAGTTTTTTGTTGTTAACATATATTTTCGTTATTTTTATCATTAACATATATATTATTTTTATTATCATGATTATCATTATTGTTATTATTATAATTTCTGTCGCCCGTTTTATTATCGTTATTCACCCTATTTTTTATCGTTATTACCATTATTATCATTAATGTTATTATTATGGCTATTACCATTACTATAATCACTATTATCTTTATTATATTCATTATTCTTATAATCATTAATAATATTGTTATCATTATTACTGCTATTATTGCTTTTATAATCATTAAAGTTATTTTTTCCTTGTCATTAGAGAGAGAGAGAGAGAGAGAGAGAGAGAGAGAGAGAGAGAGAGAGAGAGAGAGAGAGAGAGACGAATATTTTGTGCAACGGAGAAGCTAAAGGGAGTAAAAACAACACACGTAAACATAACTTCTTATATCCTCTAACCGATTTCTCACTTGAAAATTATACGTTACAATTAAAGTAAATTGTATGAAGAGATATGTTGCAAGGTGTCTAAAGTCGCAACAGAGACAAGACAGAAGAACATGTTTTGCGGATTCAGGTGACCGCTGAAGTCAACATTTTTTCTCGCAATCTTGACACTTGCGGTGGGCCCTGTTTGTATATTTGTTTTTGGGTATAATGAAGAAAGCTTGTAGAATGAAATAAGTATATGTCATTAGCTAAAACATTCAAGTTCCATTCAGTTACCATCGTGAGCAAAGTTGACAACACATTTCGAATATGCTATAATCTCGAAATTTAAATGACTAACCGCCAACTGCGAGAGAACTGCCGCCATTCAAAAGAACAAAGGCAGTGGAGCTTTAACCGTCATTCAGACTGCTAAAGTGCCTTGACTGATAAACTGATTGGCTGGGTCGTTTTCTAGCTGAGCTGGTTTCTTCTGTTCACGCTGAAGTCAGGTTCAATGTTGGAGAAAGGAGGAAGGGGGTAGGTATTAAGACCTTTATGAAGAATGAATGTTGGATATGTAGAAAAAACGGTATGAATGAGAATGAATATGTTCAGAGCACAAGGAATGTATTTCTGAGGAAGATATGATCGAAACGCGTCAAATACATCTTCAAAAATGTTTCTACTTGTCACAGTAAAAACTGAATGTAGCAAATCTTAATGCGTCCAGAATACTGGTCTCTCTTGAGAAATGTAAATAGAATTTGCGAGTTAGACTTCTTTATATTTTCAAATGATGAATATATGACTTTTAGAGTACCTCGGATAAGAGGAGGGAAAATAAGGTCAAATTTCATCACACATTCGCATAAAAGTCCCTCTCTATCCTACATGTCATCTATTTTATCCATCGACAGACTTTTGATCCAGGGGCCGCTAGCAGTTCTGCCGGCAGCAGCAGCAGCAGCAGTAGCAGTGGCGGCAGTAGCTTCAACACCAACACTGACGATGACGATGATGCTTCTAGCCCCGTCGAAGAAACTCCTGATGCTCCGGAAGCCTCCAGTGGGCTCTCCCAAGGTGAGGCGCCCGTGCCTGACTCAAAGCCGTATTCTGTTTTCCTTGGACACATTTTTGTTAGTCAGCGTAAATTTATTAATCTTATTACTCCTATCTTTATTAATATTTTCTGTTCTGTACTGAAAATGGAAAGGCTGGCTGATGGTCAATTACACTCACCCAGCAGCCTTTATATATTTGTGTAAGTCACTCCTAAATCCATTATAAACGGAATTCTAAATAGAGGTTTCACATTTTGCTCCAAAAACAGAAGACACGAGTGAAGAAGAAGAGGAACCTGAGATCCTTCCAGAGAAATGTTCTCTCAGCAAATGTCGAAGTGAGTATTTTGCGTCATGGCAAGGTTATCCTGTAGTTTATCATATTCTCATTATTATTATTATCATCATAATATTCTCATTCATTATCTCACTATTATTACATCTCATATATTATCATTATTATTATTATTATTATTATTATTATTATTATTATTATTATTATCATTATTATTACTATTATTATTTATTATTCCATCATAATAGTATTTTCATTATCATCATATTCTCATTATCATTGCTATCATTATCATCATATTCTCATTATCATTATTATTATCATTATCACTATTATTATTGTTATCATTAATAAAATATCGCCGTGGATATTGTTCCGGCACCGGATTTTATAACAGTTTGGCTATTCGTCCGCATACATGCTTACTAACTATTTGCGCGCAAACACACTCGCGCATTAGCCTTGCATACAAACTTTGGCGCTTGTTTTGTGTTGTTCATTGTTCATTGGCTAAGGGTCGATCATCGATTATGGAATCCTTCAAAGTTGGAACCGAATTTGCCAGTTTTGCTGATGTGAAGGACAGCTTGACCAAATTTCAAGAGCGCACTTTTGCACAGTTTTATGTCAAAGATTCAAGGACTGTTGCTGCAGCTTTGAAGCGTACACCGGATAAGAAAGTAAAGCCAGAGTTGAAGTAATCCTTAGTGTTCGCCTGCATCGGGAAATACGGCAGTTGGGAGGGAGTTCGGCAATCGAGGGGTCCGGGGCGTAGCCCCCAGGTTAGCAGGATGATTTTTTGTTCATACGGCGATCCTACTGGTAGTTCGTGCGTTTAAGAATCTCGTTCGCGCAACACGTGTCGATCGCCGAATCTTCCTCCGGTTTTAATTTTTTTCTTTATCATCTGAAATACTATCCTTGGCTCGGATTTTCAATTTCCCACATTCTTTTGCTTTTTAAAATGCATGGTATAAACGAAATCACCCCCCCCCCCAACACCCGATTCCCACGGATCCCCAACATTGTTGGCGGAGTCGGGACTTCGTCTCTGACGGGTGCGGTTCTATCGTTTAAAGGCACGATGAAAATCACAGAAATGTCAAACTGTTGCAAACTTAGCATGTATGTCCACTCGGTCCTAAGAATAATTAAAGATTTTGATGATGTGCGGCCCTGCCGGAAAAAATAGCTCTTTAGTGCGCAAGCGCGAGTGTATGCCGGACGAATAGCCAAACTGTTATAAAATCCGGTGCCGGAACAATATCCATGGCGTAATAATATTCATATTCTTATTATGATCATTTATCAATTAGTATTATCATTATCATTATTAGTAGTACCAATATCATTATTATTAGTAGCATTGTCATTATCATTAACTTTAGTAGTATTGTCATTATCATTATTATTAGTATTATCATTATTATTATTAACAAAATCAACATTATTAGTAGTATTGTTTTCATTATCATTACTACTGTATAATCAGCATAACCATTATTATAGGCCAACAACCCTGGATACTTCTAATGAATTCGTTATCAGTTATGATATTTGAGGGCCAAGTGGGACCATGAGACTGTGTGACGACCGACCCTGATCAGCTGATTGTCAAGTACAACTGTTCTTGCTGAGTGAATGCTCGCCATACTTCGGAAGTGACATCAGAGTATAGTCATTTTAACTGTAAAGTCAGGGGGTATTTGAATGCATAGATGAGGCATTAGATTTACTTTTAAATTCGTATCCAAGAAAATGCGTTATCTTCTATCTATCAGTTTATCTGTCTCTTTGTCCATCTATTTGTATATCTACAAATATGTATCTGCCTATCCATCTGTTTCTCTCTCCATCTTTCTGTCTGCGTATTTATCTGTTAATCTGTCTGTTTATCAACCTACCTATCTATCTGTCTCTTTCTCTGTCTCTCTCTCTATCTCCCCATATATCTATCTGTCTGTAGGCTAACCGCATTGACGATATTTTTTATTAGTTGGGTACGAATAGATATACATCTACACTTAATCGTCCTTACTTTTGAATATCTGGTGACGTTAATATCAGTGTATTAGAATTGACTCCAATCAGTGCAGCCTTCAGTCTAGATAATGTTCAATGACAGATTCAGTTTGTGAGAAAGAAGATCGAAGCTGGTCAATAAGATCTTGCAATAATGACAAATCTTAATTATTATTGTGGTATTTCAAAACCGACAAACTGACAAATATATACCTGACATAAAGTATTTAGTATTTTCTTTATACGTCTCTCAATTTTGTTTTGTTATTATTTAATTGTTGGTGCATATATATATATATATATATATATATATATATATATATATATATATATATATATATATATATATGTATATTATATATATATATATATATATATATACATATATAATATATATAATATATATATATATATATATATATATATACATATATATATAATATATATATATATATATACATATATATATATATATATATATGTATATATATATACATATATTATATACATATATATATATACATATATATATATACATAATAATATAAATATATATACTATATATATATATATATATATATATATATATATATAGACATACATATAGACATTACATACATACATACATACATACATACATACATACATACATATACTACATATATATACACACACACACACACACACACCACACATCACACACACACACACACACACACACACACACACACACACACACACACACCACACACACACACACACACACACACAGTATTTATGACAGGGATATCAGATATCAGAAATAGGTGAAAGAAAATAGCATTTTACGAAGAGAGAATTTTCACTTTCGTCTACATACATAATGCTAAGGTCATCTTATCACACGCATAATTGTTTACATGGTTCTTATCTGCATTGTTTACTAAATAGTTGTTTTGTTCATATGCGTATCTACAGGTGACAATGATTACGTGTCACTCTGTGAATGAATGATAGCAACTCACACACAGGCATGAATATATATACTATATTATATATATTATATATATATATATAAATATATATATATTATATATATAATATTATATATATATATATATATATATATATAATGTATATATAGTGTAAATGATATACTTATATATATATATATATGTGTGTGTGTGTGGTTATGTGTTATGTGTTGGTGCGTGTGTGTTGTATTATATACATACATATATATACTACATATACATGTATATATATATATATATATATATATATATATATATTATATATATATATATATATATATATAATATAAATGTGTCGTGATGTTGTGTGTGTGTGTGTGTGTGTGTATGTGTGTGTGTGTGTGTGTTGTGTCATTGTGTGTGTGTGTGTGTGTGTGTGTTACATTAAAATACACACACACACACATACATAGTTACGAATGAATGTTTTGCGTACGAAAGCAAAAAATGCATTACGATAAAAATCCCTGTCTTGCATCCGCATCACAGGTCGAGGCAAGATGAAGTTCCTGGACGGCAGGACCTACCACTACAAATACCAGACGCAAACCACAACTCAAGTGGTAGGTTCCTCGCCCAAGAACACGACCATATCGATGGAGGCGGCGCTCGCCCTCAACGTTCTCACCGCCTGCGAAATGGAGCTTGTTGTGAGTGTTGTGTTTTTTTTTTTTTTTTTTTTGTTTTTTTTTTTTTTTTTTTTTAAGTTTAGCTTTTTTGTGTTCGTTGCTCTTCGCTTTTTGCTTTCTCTTTCTTCTTGCTTTTTCCTTCTCTTTTTTTCTTTTTCTGTTTCACTTGCTTTTCTTCTTTTATTTCGCTTACTCTTCTGTTTCGCTTGGTTTTCTTATTTTGTTTTGCTTACTCTTCTGTTTCGCTCGATTTTCTTGTTTCACTCGATTTTCTTGTTTCGCTCGATTTTCTTCTTGTTTCGCTCGAGTTTCTTCTTGTTTCGCTTGCTCCTTCTTTCTTTTTCGTTTCGCTCTTCCTTCTTTTGCTCATTTCTAGTTAGCTCTCTCTTCTTTTCGCCCTCTCCTCTTCTGTTTCGCCCTCTCTTCTGTCTATGCTTAGTTGCAATTTAATAATCATGAGTTTCTCCTTTGTATATTATTCCAGTAAATAAAATAATTCTAATACTAAATTTTACGCTGCCAATATTGCTATATTTCGTACTA